TATCATGTTATTGTTAAAAACTCTGCTGTTCTCCTGTGCATTTGATTGATGGGATTCTCTTCTGCACTTTCAAAGCCTTTATTGAATTTGGGGCCTCTCATTACTGCGCTCTAACTGTATTTTATGTATCTCTTTTTATTTTATTTTAATTGGTTTTTAATGGTCTAATGCATTTCTTTGCCTTATGTAAAACACTTTCAATTGCCTCTATGTGTGAATGGTGTATACAAATCAACACACCTTGTCTTACACATTTCCAGGCAAGCTGTAATTTAAAAATAACAAATAGAGTTATTAGGTTTTGTCTGTAGTGGAACACAGTTCATTTCTATGAACATCAGTTTGACTGTTTATGATTTGGCATACATTTGCCATATCATAATCATTATCTGTTTTAAAAAGCAAAAAGTATCTTGACTTTTAGTCCCTTGTATGGATAAAGTTCCAAAAACCCCAGAGCAACAATTCCATAAAGTTTCCCATAATGAAATCCATACCCTCCCTGCCTGCTAAAAGTCCATCATTTCCAGTTTGAAATTAAAACACATACAGCTAGAGCTCTGAATGTAATTTGGACACAGATAATTGTCATGTCCTTCTCCGTTTTGAAATATACACCCAACTTTATTTACTGGGCCTGTGTGGTAATGAGCAGCAACAGCACCAGTGTGTTAAAACTGCAAAATAAACTCCACACATGCCTACAAACTCCACTGAGACATTGCCTGGTCTTAGCCTTTTCTTAGCTGGAGTGCCACTGCTGAATCGTACTGGTGAAGTGCGATGCATTCAGCACAGTGTGAGAAGATTACTGTGATTGAGGCTGTCCATGACCACATAGAGGTGATGGGATGGGTTGTCTTTGACTAAATCTCTACTTTTCTTGGTATGATCATAATAACAGGCTCAATGGGGACTGTAATGGCTTGAATATCAAGAGTCCATTTTTCTCTTTTTCTGGCAGGTCAAGACTTTTCTTCCTCCTTTATGTGGTTACAAAGGCAGCCAGTAGTTGAGAGAAAGGGAATAACATAAAGAGAAGAATATAGTATATTCGTTTGTTCATCATCATCAGCATTACACAGTACCAGTGAAACTAATAGTGTATAATGAGCCAAACTACACTTTCTTTATTTATCTGTGTCACCCACAGTCTCTGAAGATTAATTCCCAAACTCTCCATATGGAAAAGCAAGGATGACATTTTCAAAACATGCAATTGGCAGAACAGTAACTAATTTTATATTACACATTGCTATATAATCATCTTGCCAATGGCATCATTAACCACGATTCCTTCTGTCTGTGGATCAAATTGTCCCCCAAACAGCTCATCAGCAGCGAGCTGTTTGAGTTTCTTGTTTGGAAATTACACAAAACAATGGCCACCAGTGGAGCTGTTTTGTGGCTCGAGAGTTGATATGCAGCCATGTTAGTGCCTTTGACTCATTCACTATGTGCCTGTTCCCCTATTACACAGCAGCACTTTTATGACAGCAGTCTGTGGTGCCTGCAGAATTCATTGTCTCATCACTCAAGTCCTGTTTAGGCCTGTTGCTGCGTGTCCTCGTCTGGTTTTAAAATAGCGTTTGTCACCTTTCATCCCTTTTCTGCGGCTCATCAAAAATACATTTTGTACCCAGTGTGAGACCTTCCAGTGGATTAAGAGATCGCGGCCAAAGCGTCACAGGCTGATGTTATTTTCAAAGTGGAGAGAAGATGGATCCGCCAAAGCGGAGGGGGTTGAAACAGACCTTTAAGAGAACTGAAGTGGTATAGTGTGAGCTGCTGGATACAGGCCACCCTTCATTAAGCCACTAATATTACAGCCTATTAATTATTCAGAGTAAGGTCTTATGACACCATATATCAATGGATATTATGAGGACTGTTATTCATTTATCTGGAGTATTCCTGTGTGAGGAAAAACAGTCTAACCGATGGATGATAGGAGTAGTATTCTGTAGGTCCCATTGCACTGCACTGCTGTTTCTATTTTTCTCAAATCTACAGAATTTGTTCAAATGTGGTTTTGTGTCTCTCAGTCTGGGTCTTTTGCTCCTATATAGGAGGGGTGGCGGGCTTTGTCCAGGGACATAATCTGTCTGTGGTTGTGGGCTGTTTCAAGTTACAAATAGCAACTATTTATTGATATTATTTCATATTAAAGTTAATAATTTGGCATTCATTTATGACACTGAATAATGAAAGAACAATGTAACTATTAATAATGTACAGCTTGTTGTTGCCAAGAACCAAAGCTTGAAATGTGAGTCTTAACACATTTTTACTAATTTTACCCATTCAGAAGTTTCTAAACCCGCCCCTGCAGCCTGTCTCTACAGCTGCATCTAATTCTGTCTTTGTATGCCTTTAGAGAGGCTCTGAATTTCCACAGTGTGATGTAATGGTCTGCTCTGACAGAAAATATAACTTAATAGTGACTCACACTTTTTTCCCTCTCTTCCACCCTCTTGCTTTTGATTACCTATGTCATCACACCTTGTGCGCTGATTACATCTAAGGTATCGGAAATTGTATGTTTAACTAATTTATCGTGCCAAGCTACTCTCCCACCCAAAAGAGCTTCGTCCTTGTAATTACAACGGATTAAGGACTAATATCTAATTATGCCGTAATATGCTTTAATGCATTTTTAATGGCAGCTGGGTGTTAAAGTCAAATTCGGAGCTGTCTCTGTTGGGGGTGGGAGGTGAAGATTGAGGGAGGGAAAGGGTTTCTTGGCAGTATAGGCTGCAGGGAGGGCGGGCAACATTGATTTCTTTGGCTGAGGTTACAGGAGCCTAGCAGGGAGGCAGCTGCTGCATACTGAAGTCATTCGACGTTAAAAATGTTGCACCAGCCCCTGGTACGCAGTAAAATGCATTTCCCTCGCCGCTGTTTTATGTCAAAGGAGGGAGGACACAAATGCCTGTTTGAATTATGATCTGGAATAGAGACCGTTTATTGATTTGCTACTTTATGAAGGGATGACTACATTGCCAAGACAAGTGAGATTGAGTACCGCTGGCAGCCGAAAAGAGGGTTGAGTGTTCTGTTATGGATGGATTGGACAGAAAATACAGTAAAGAAACGCTACGGTCTGGAGAATCCAATGTTCTGAAAACCAAAAATCCGGCCTATTCATGCAGATACACACACGAACACACACACACACATCGCAAGTCTTCAAGGGTCAGAGCTAGTCTATGACAAGCACACTGAACAAATAGATATTCTCAGACGCACGCTTGCATGCACTTATAAATGTATTCATACTCACTGTTTGTTTGTCTACGCATGATTGTTTTCCACAACAATATTCCATTCATCATTTGTTTCCCCCTTGTTTATTCTAATAGGGTGTAGGACAGAAAAAATATCTGCATAATATTTCAAAGATTGATTGGGATGCAAATTGCCTTGTGAGCCCAATTGGTGTGGCTTGGCCTGTTTTAATTGGGTTCTGTTAATTAATGCTCAATGTGAAGACAAACTGAATTACTTGCAGGTTTTGCGCATGTCATTATCTCCTATTTGTGCCAGTAGGAAAGCGTGTGTGCACACTGTATGCGTATGAGTATGCATGCATATTTGGTTAACCCTTTCTTCTCGTTTGATACTGTGAAAATCATTATAGCCTAATAACAAACACAGGTCATTCAGTTAATACACCATTAGGAAGCTAAGATCTAATATTTTAATCACTGAAAGACTAATGCAGAAAAGATATAATTTATTTACAGGTTATAACTGAATGCTTCAAGCATTGCAGGAACACTTAATTAGATATGGACCTCATGAGAAATTTATACCAACTGAATGACTGGATGACTGCACTTGACATGATTTCTCTTTTATGTAATAAAACTGCACGGATGTGATAACAGGAGTGTTTTCAGTGGGAGGGTCTGTAAGTCCTTTTTATGTTGTGTCTTCTAATCTGAATTATTACTGTGTTGCATGCAATATCCAAATTAATAAACTAAACAAAACAACTTGTGTTTCACAAGTGATTAGTCATTGCAGCTATGTTTTTGTTGTACCTTGAATAAAAAGAAAATGACATTTTCCAAAATGCTTCTACTTGAAGATGTATCCAAAATGTTGCAGCGGTTCAACAAGCATGCAATGGACTGTGGGTTATCTCCTGGACCTCAACGTTGCTCATGAGATATATGTGCAACTTGAACCGCAAAGCAGTAAGATTCATATTTTCAGACCATTAAACAAAGGATGCTAAATCCCACCATGCAAACAAGTAACAGTCAAAATGCATCAAAGGGTAAAACGGGAGCATGAGTCATTACGCCACTCATCATGGCCGCAGAGCCATTTATCCTGCCAGCCAGTCACTGAGTCGAGGAGGTCCTCGACAGCAACAAATAAACATATTAATGGGATCAGTCGTGCTCTAAGAGGAAGAGTGCATGGCAATTAACGGTCGTCTGTTACTATGCGGACCGGAGTATCGTTAGCGCCGGGGTGACCTTGACAGAGCCTCGTTAGGGAAATGATTGACGTGGCAACTGTTGTCAGTGGTAACTCTGACAGTGGGAAGGAAGGGATGGACAGACGGGTAGGCCGGGTGGCAGGGCTGCAGGTGGCATACAAGCGGGTGCAGGCCTCACCTGGGATGTTATGAATGGGATCTGGCTTCATCAAGATGACAAATGCAAAACAAAGACGAGCTGTGTGACTCCTAAGTTTTCACTCTAAACTTGATGTGAAAACATTGTTTTGTCAATTCCCTGCTTCCCAGTGTCTGTAGCAATGTCACAAATACGAATTCTTCTACACTGACAAGATAAACACTGCACCTGGTACATAGAGTGATTTTGACCTTCCCTTCAACCACTAATCACCTAGCAACAGCTACAGCACAAATGTTTTTCAATTGCATGAAAAAAAAAAGATACACAACAGTTACGCTGCAGAATGAATGAATGAGAGACCATCTTCTACTATCACAGTTCAGGTTAGAGCGTGTAAAGTAGTACCTGTGATGTCGTGCTGTTTGAAGGAGTCGCTGTAGATCTGGTGCTGATTGGGACAATGTTTCTTCAGCCATTTGCACACGTCCTGTTGGGTCCACAGGGCAACTGGTTTGGACAGCTTTACATATCCTGGCTGAGACAAACCAAACATTTAAAATTCAGAAACATTTCAGAATCTGTTACACTGCTTATGCACATACACTGAGGCAGCTGTAAAAGACTTTTTTATAATCTTGCTGAACTATGCCTCTGTTGTTGTTCTAGTTGATCCCTTTTGTGTACATGCATTATTATAGCCTTCTTTAATAGACTACCACTTTCACACTTTGGTTAGATATGTACTGGCAACTGAGTGACATTTTCCCTCAAGGATTGATTAAGTATTAATCATTTAAAGTAAAAATAATATTCAATAATAAGAAATATACACAGTCTAAAGCTGGACAGACAGTGTACAATTATATTTATATTGTATGTTGTGTTGAATCACTCCTGGTTTTCTGTTTTGCTGTTGTTATTTTATCGATTCATCATTTCTCTATAAAATCAGAAACCAGAAAATAGTGAAAAAATGCCCATAACAATTTTCCAAAGCCTGAGGTGACAACTTCAAATGTGTTATTCTGTCCTACCATCAGTCCCAAAAACAACAAGATTGAGTTTAAAATGTTATAAAACAAAGAAAAGAAACAAGTCTTCACCTTCAAGAAGCTTGAACTTGTAGATTACAAGATGCGCAAAAAAGAGAAAATAAATTAAATGCCACCAAGTTTCTGTCACTATGCATCACTGCCTTTTTTAAGTTGACTGAGTGTATTACGCACTTGTTGTGTGACTGTGTGGCCTCCAGCATGTGCTGGTCGAGCTTTAGATACAGACAACAAATTTGCAAGCTAATCACAGTGTTGCTCAACAGCACCACCAGTGGTCAAAAACTTCAGTAATGTAGTCGTAGCCATTGCGGACAGAGTGAAGCTTTAATCCAACTGTATGACATTTAATACAGGCTATATTAGATCGCATGTAATAGCACATACATACACATATCTGCACTGCACTGTACTCTGGTTGCAAGATGCCACTCTAGTTTAAATACTTCAGCACAGTAGTCTGCCAAAGGATCACTCTTGAAAGTGCTGGCAATGCTTTTGATTTTGATTGAGGGGCTACTAAAATTACAAACAGAGAGAGGTGATTAAAATTTCACATCCACTCCCTTCCACTTCAGCCTCCTCTCCGGCTGCCGTGTGGTGTGGCATAGCAATGGAAGCCCTTCGCTTCTCCACCCGGAGAAAGCAGAATAACAGGTACTGGCAGCATTTCCTCTTCTTTGCCTTCTCGCTCCCCACCCCCACCCCATCTCTCATCTCTCCCCCGTATTCAATCTCGCTCAGTCCCTGTCAGATCTATCACATTGTCTTTCTCACTTCCTCTCCCCACATTCTGTAGCTCTCATCTTTCCCATCTCACTCTCCCTCTCACCTGTTTCTTATTATATGGTACTACCTCACTCTATCCTCCTCTTTCCACAGCTCCTTCCCACTCACTCTATATCTAGCATCCCAGGGAGAGAGAGAAATTGGGGGAGATGTACATGCTGGTTTTGGCATGTGGTCTATATCTCCTGAAGGTAGGCAAAGTGACAGCAGGTAGGCAGGTAGGAGAGGCCACCGCTCTTAATGCGATTGCTTGGCAGCCTGTGTGGATAGATGCTGAATCTGCAGGGAGGGGTGGGAACGGCATCGCAGGAAGAAAAACCACATTAACCATTAAACACAGCTCAACTCAATGCTAATTAACCCTGACTAGGAGCCTGAGGCGACAAAAGAGAGAGGGAGGCCTGGATGGAGAAAGAGTGAGGGACAGAGTGCAAGGAAGAGGGAGAGAAGTGTGTGTGTTGAAAGCATTTGAGTTTGGGATAGTAGAACTAGCAGAAGAGAAGGGAGGAGGTGTGGAGGGTGGCTGGACTGACAGATGAGGCAGAGAGTAGAAAAAAGCTAGTGGACTCTGCAGAATTTGACACAGGAGACACTCTCATTTTCCATGAACCCATTTGTGAGTCAATGGCCATCTGTGTTTTACATTCTGCACTGATTTAGCCCATAGCTGTGTTCCCGGGGCCAGTACAATAGGTGAGCCGGTGCCTTCCTGCCTGCCAGCCAGCCAGCCAACACAGCCAAAGGGCGGAGGGAAAACAGCAGAGAGAAGAAAACAGGAGTACAATCATGCTCAAAGAGCTGTGTTCAAGAGACTCCGGGCCAATTAGAGATTTGAGTGACAGCACAGGGGTGAAAGGAGAAGCCTGCTTTATTTCTAACTGCAATACGTCTGGGAACAGGCGCCGCACACACACACACACAATCTCACATGAGCAGGCACCAGGACAACATCAAACACTGAAAAAAAAAATATCCACATGAACCATCCAATTGTCATGTGTGCCAACATGCATTCAGTGTGTTGCTGTCCTTGGCTTTAATTGATAACTGAAAGCCCAGTGCAGCTCCCAGTATTCTTCACGTTACCTTAGCAACAGAGCAAGGACAACCTTAAAAATTAAAAGACGAGGGAATAAAGCCTTCAGGGGAAAACGCGCAACCCGAACATGAACCAGAGTGTGGAATAAACATCCACACATTAACGACCACAGTGGAAAACTATTACTTACATAATGAAGCATGTAATCACACCAACACTGATAAGCATTTAAAGATCCAATATGAATGTACTCAGCTAAATTAATAAAGAGGCATCAATATGGCCCCCTTTTTGTGGAGACCAAATGGAAATACAAAAAGAGCTGGGAATGCTAAAAGCGCTGAAAAGCATTCCAGAGATGACTGAGTGAGTGAATTTGGCAGTTGTGTTGTGCACAGCAGTAGTTGTTTCCCTTGTGTCGTGATTTTCATTTTGGCTCCAAGATTGTTAGGCTGATTGCAGGGTCAAATGGCTTTACACTCAATTAAAAATGTTGACTACAGCAGCAATTAGCACATATAATGACATTGTTATGTCAATAATTTCCTGTATTTAGCATTAAACTGACCACAAAGACCTTATAATGTCAAATAGATTTCATAGTTTTTCAGAGTTTTGTTTACTTCACAGAAATAATTCAAACCTCAACCCTGGATATTTCCCAAGACAAAAGATGTGGGCAGAGTTCATTTATTGAGCAAAATGTGTACAAGGGCAAAACAAATATTCAATAGCTCTTTGACAGCACAAGAGCTGATACTTTTGTTCAGAACCATTACAGCTGTCTAGCAGCCTTCATTAGGAGCAATATTGTTTGTTGCATGAAACACGGCTGTGTTCAAAACAGTGCAATCCAAATTCATTTTTCAATCAGGTTTTGAAAAACACAGCGATATGAGACGTCAGGCAGCAAAGTATATCGGAAAAAACAGGGACAAGCTCAGCTCCTACATATATGACATAAAGATAGCTCCATTTCAAAGAGACTAGAGTTGTAATGTATCTTTTATGAGGCAGTAGATACTGAAGCTGATATTTTGAGCATTGCTTTTCAGATTTTCTTTTCCAAGACAAGAGGGGTGAGCACGATAAGGTAGTATAGGTAGGTAGGTAGGTAGGGAGTATTTAAATTAAAAAAACATTGTTTTGGTCATTCTACATAGTTCTCTGTATGTTATCTATTTATTTTACAGGGAAATATTAGAGAAAATCAAGACAATTTTCTCTTTTGAGCAGTTCTATACATAATTTCCCAGATGGGATTTACAAGCAGTATGAACAGTTATAGCATTATAAGCAGTCTATAAATGTATAGTAAATTGTTCATATAAGTTAAATGCAAAAAAGGACCAATGTTTATTCATGTATAGTATTTTCAACAATTATAACTCCTCTTATGGAGATGTATTTTATATAACTGTTGTATTCTAATTCATTATGTCTTTATATATCAGAATCTGGTTATGGATCCTTCACAGGAGAAGTTAAAACTTAACATTGTTGACAACTACAGCAATAACCACTTATATGCGCTTAAGTTTTACACAACAGTGTGAATAGGCCATTTATTAAATGTTTATATACTGCTTATAAATTCTAAATATGGTACCATACCATACATATCTTGCACTGTATATGCTTTTTAAATTCTGACTACTTGTCAGTATACATTAAAGCATTGTACAGAAATTCCATCCTGATTACTTTTTTCCCCATGTATGTGATAAATTTTTAAGAATACCACAGAAACTGCAAGGTTGCATTAGACTGAGATATATCCCTATATGTTGAACTTGCATTATACCAGTACGATCCATTGTTACATACTACCCTCTAGTGTCATAACTAAACACTGCAGCAACTTTTTTTTTTCCTTCAGTGTGACTGGACAGAAAAGTGCTGAGAGGAGGAGGGTCGCTGCCATTAGTGTCATGTTGACTGAGTGAATGGCTGTTTGAGACACGGAGCCCTGTGTCGTCGGCCCTATCTCCACTGCACAGCTAATTAACAGCTCTGGCATGCTCTCTCTCACTCTCCTTTCTCTCTGCCTCGCTCTATTTCTCCCGGCCAGAGCTGGCAGGAGATGAAAATTCCCTGTATTAATTAATCTGTTACATACAGGAATGGGGATGAAACTGATATGTCTATGTGTGTGAGTGTGTGTGTGTGTGTGTGTGTGTGTGTGTGTCCAGAGAGCTGACAGAGAATAACACACTATGCTGGATAAATTAATAAGCCTTCATAAGGAGCCTCTGTTAACAGGCAATGCCAACTTTACTCTGGCACATCAAAGAAAGTACACAAGCCCCTTCACGGGGCCTGACCTTGGGATTCGGCAGGGTCCATAAAGCACTGCAGGGTGTGTTAACACTAAACAAGATATATTCACCTTGGGCTTGATATTGATCACGGCTGAGATGAGCTGATTTGCTATGGATGTTACAGCCATCCACTGAGTCTGAATGGCTGTTTTATGCCTCATGTTTAATCTATGGCTTAGCCTGGGCTCAATTACAAATCCAGCTAGGGAGCTGGATTCAGCTTCAGCCTAATATTTAAAAATGAACACCGCTGATGTGTTGAACTGAAATTACTTTTCTACAGGTATGCACTGTATTGAGGTCTGGATTTATTACGTCCTCACATTTATCCTCTTTATGCACTTCTGCTCTACATGAAAGGCAGATGAATTAACTTTAACGCCTTTGATTTTCCTCTAACAACACGATCCTCTGCATTTTTTTGACATGGTGTCCTAGTATCTTTATCTTAGTCAACAATCTTGACAAGATGTTGAGTTTCCCACCACCCGAGGAAACATTTTGAATTATATATAGGGCTGGGTATCAAACCTGAATGCTGCTTTGGTCCTGACCAAAATGTGTGCATAGCACTGAGTATTGAAAACTTTCAAGTACTGAAAGCTGGCATCAAAGTACGTATTTCTGGTACATCTTCACCTACTTCCAAGGTGCATGGAGAAGGGAAAAAGTCTGAAAATGTCAAAACTGCAGTAGTATATCCACACAATCTCTCAATACTCTTATTGTGAGACCAATGTGTTTTGGCCTGTTGCCTACATCAGGGTCACCATACAGCACAAGATTTTTTTATAAAACAATTGCTAAGGTTTTGACCTCTTCAGTTCCTGATTCAAAACAAGATTTTGGCAGTTTGGCTGTGGTTTATTCGTACTGTTTTGTAGAAAAACATGTATAAATAGGTATCAAACTCGGGTATTGTAATATTGTACTATCAATACTCAATCTGTCCAAATGTTACTTTATAGAAATTAGATTATCTGTCACAAACCAACCTCTGAAATATGATTTGATATGTGTACAATGTACAATATAACTATATAAAATGTTATATCTTATCACCCTCAGGGATGTAGTCAGTAAAATACACTACTTCACTTTTTACCTCATATATGGTCAAAATCACATATGTAAAAACAAAGTTTATAGACAAAAAAAATGACAAAAATTCCTCTTGGACTCGGTGGCACATCAGCATACATACATTTATCCTATCTAATGTAATTGTAAAGCAATATTATAGCAGCTGATGTATGATTTGACTTGCACATTTTCCTTTTTATAGATGCTCTAACTGCTGTTGTCTTTAACTGTTAACAGTGAAGTTAATAGTTCCAGTACTGCAAAACCTCCCATCTAGCTCTTAATAAAGCTCAAACCCAAAGTATAAATAAATACTGTCTGGCCCATGGCTGTATTGCATCATAGAATAGATTGCCATTTTATGTAATTACAGTCTTTATGCACTTGACCTATTGAATTTCCCCCAAAGAGATAACTCATTCTTAACTGCAATCTAGACACTGAGTCTGAAAGCTTAGTCAGTTAAATTATTTCAGTTAATGCCAAACATCCTCCAGGTCTCTAATGCAATTCAGATTTAGCTGCTGCTTCATGGTGATATAAAATTACACGATGATGCCCACAAAAAACACACAGCATAGATAGTATGTTACTGATACTGTGTTTTTTTTTTTCCATCACCACAGAATTACCACATATTAACTTACAGTTACAGCACAAAACAGAAAGGACAGAGCATCTCCACTGTCTCCCTGTCTCTCTCTCTGTGTGTGTGTGTGTGTGTTCGCACTAATTGAACCCAGGACTGGCTGTCTGTCTAGTATTTCAAAAGCTCATCCAGGGCTTACACAGAGGACTATGTCTGACTCAAAAGTGCTTCCACTTGCTTTGATTGACAGCTGATTACCACAGATTCTTCTCAGAGAAAAGAAAATATGAGAGTGTGTGTGCATCGGGAGTGATCACTCCTGTCTCCTCCCACTGTCCCAACCACGGTCTATTTCTGGAGAGGAAGTAAGGAATTTATTCTGCATTGCTGATGATGGGTCCTTTGATATATTATCAGAAACACTGAGGAAGAGTTGAAACACAGCCTGCAACAACAGCTTTTATTTCCTTGTTTATTCCCTGGTCAATTCTTTGTTTGTACTGAAGAGGTGGATGTAGTGGATTATTTTATGTAAGTGGGTGGTTGATTTGTTTTGTGTGTGCCATGCAGTCAAATTACAGTACAAGGAAGGTTTTGTACACAAACTATAATTTGACCACAAATACAATCAATTTAGTGCTAAGTAAATGTGCAATGAAACCACCACAGGCCCTCAGTATGAATTTCTTGTCTCAATGTGATTCATGTGAAAACATACTACAGCCATGCTAGCTCCTCTGTTTAGGTGTAATTGACTAAATGCTAGCGTCATTGTGCAAACATGCACACGATGACATTGCTAACATGTTGATGTCTAGCTGATAGAAGCATTGCCATGTTAACCATCATCATTTAGCATGTTAGCATGCTAACATTGTTTACTAACACTAAACATAAAGTACAACAGAGGATGATAGGAGATAGTTTTGCAGGAATTTGGTCAGAAACGGAAGTATTTCACAAATTCACACTATATTATTTGACCTGATGGGATTTTGTTTTTACAGCCAAAATATTAACTGTTTCAGTAAACATTCAATATCACCACTTTAAAGCTGATTATTACTAGTAGGCTGCAAACGACAACCTGACAAAGTTAGCTGGTGAACACCGTGGAGACATTTTAGCAGCTAAAGAGTGATATATTTTCCTCAAGAGTTGGTAGCGACCAACACAGAGCTAAAAGAGAATAAATATTTGACTTATAATTGTCAAATGGCCAGAAATATGACTCCAAATGAATGCTAATGTTGCTCCATGTCCACTGGATGTGTAAAGGCCAAGGCCAACTGTATGATAACAGATTAGCCAAAAAACCTCCATCATCACCCTCATCTCGATAATACCTGTATGTACAAGTTTTGTTTACAGCTTGTTCTGCTGCCCTAGAGTAGCCAAAATAAATAACTAAATTAATGCTTTAAAATCATACATATCTATCTCACACTCTATGTCATTAATTAAAATTTAGAAAATCATGTAATTTTTCTCTATCTGTAATTTATGGTAAGCTAAAAAATTTAAAAATTGCATCCCATTTTCAAAACACTTGTATGTATTGCAGGTGCCAAATTATTTAAGCCTAGAGGAGGTTTCTGAGACACATAGCAAACATTATATCGCTCTAAATCAGACTAAAACTCTGTTATTTGAAGTGAAGACAAACTGGGAAGTTTGTGGTAGGCTAAATTATCAGTGCTGTGGCAATGCATCATCAACAAGACACTATTTCTGTTACAAGCCCACTTGTCTAGGTGGAAAAAATACTGAGATCTACTTATGTAAAAGCAATACAACAATGTAGAAACACTACAAGTAAAAGTTCAGAAATTCTTTTTTTTAATGAAAATTTGACTTGAGTAGAAGTACAAAAGTCGTGTGATATATGTATCATAAGTAAAAGCAATCATTATGTAGAATGATTTAAGAATAATAATCTGTATCATACAATTGGATTATAGTTACTAATGGATTAATGTGCAAGCATCACTTCAATAGTGCAGCTGATAATTTTTTTGTAATAATAATCTGAATATGCAAAGTAACTAGTAAAATGTCAAAAAAATAAGTGGCACTTATGTACAGTACTTGAGTAAATGTACTTGATTACTTTCCACCACTGAACTTCTAGGATGCTGTAACTTTAACCTGATTTCTTCATGCCATCTTATTTTATATCCAATTCAATTCAATTCAATAAGATTGTGGTGTGTGTGTGTGTGTGTGTGTGTGTGTCTGTGTTTGGCAGTGTCTGTTGAAGTCCTCTGGGTGTAAAATTTTAAATTTTCTGTCTTTGATACCCCCAAGTGGTAGCATCACAAAAGACACTGCAGGAGGAGGACACTGGGATGAATGGGCTATGCTATTATATATTTTTTTCTACAAACTGAAATCAGAATAACTTGAAAGGTGCTGTAATAAAATAAGCTGAGAAGAAGTCTACACAGTAAGTCAAATGAATTATTTGTGGTGAGTTAGCACTGCACTGGCATAAAGCTGATTCCCATGCTGTCTGGATTAAACAGATGCCAACACTTTTTCTGCGAACGTTGCTTCTGGACCACCTCTTACCCGTGTCAGCTCAGACTCAGAGACTGAGCGGTGTGGCGGCATACGGCGCTGGTACATTGGGGGGCTGACATCCTGGTAGCTCGGGCTGTCGTCGTCCAGCAGCACAGCCCCAGCATCCACCGAGTCCTCCTCTTCCTCCAGCTGTGACGTCATGTCCTCCGGGCACATCTGGTGATCGATGCCATTCTGGCTCAGGTTGCAGTGAACAGCTGTGTGGAAAAATAAATGAACGGATGAGCCATGGATAAGTGCAGAAAACTGACTTGAGTATATTTACGACTATATATATAGTACGACTAAATTAGCCTGTAGTAAGTATATCATTTATACAACCAGAATTAATTAAAACTCACTCTATTTAATCACTTAGGTTGTAGCAGTAATGTATTGAAGTTGTACTTTACTATGGAAAGACTTACATGTTAATGCTTTTCAGTACTTTTTGCTTCCAAAATAGCACTATACAATCTGCTTAACAGTATCCCGAATAAATTTTAACTGGATCTATTTATTCAAGGTTATTTCCAACTGTTTTACAATTTCATGGTACTAAGTCTACTGATGATATTTCCATCTGTGAGCATGTTGAATCACCCCAAGTCCTCCCACACTGAATGCTTTACTGCAAAAAGTCCACTAGATGGCGGCAGATAATAAAACATGGTGTGTGAGTGGCCTTTGAAGCCAGGTCTCAATATAGTCTGTAATACAGTACACTGTTTTTGCAGGTAAGAAATCAATTAATCTAACCATCAAATGCCACCAGCGAATAATAATAAAGATGCAAGCTGTGTGCTGAGAGATGAACTAATTTAAACTGGGACTTTCAAAGGCTGCTACCAATTTATCATTTGGAAACTCGAAGCAAGACTACAGTATGTAAGTTTGACATTCTTCCTGTTACAAATGAAAAGCGGAATTCATAAGAAATAATAAAAAAACAAAATTCAATACTCTTTTGCTGCTTTAGCCTTACCTGGTCTGGTTTGACCAGTAGCTGTTGGTGGCTATTGTAAGCAAACTTTCAAGAGAATATTACTAAGTAAGTTTGGCTTTATTACTTTTCTTTCTTTACTTCTGCTATTGCAACTTGTATTAGCTACATTCTACAATTTACCATTATCACTGTGACCTGTGGCAAATGTGTCTTTTCCATAATCAGTTATATTTATGAAGCTGTCTCACACTATCTACTGTTCGTCCATTGTCTCACATTTTGATGCGCAACAGAAATGGTGTCCACCAACATCTCACTGAAGTGGATTTATTATGCATACTATCATCATGAGTATTTACTCACTTTCTTTCAACACATATTTATTCAAAACCCAGAATTAGCATGCGGGGACACCAGACCTGCATCAAATCCAGAATACACACATACAGATTAAATACAGTATGTTTGCATAGATTTAACAGATATTTAACTTGTATAATGGAACTCTCGACCTTGTCCCATCAAAACCAAAGATAGATAACTGAGCAACAGCAGGTTTTATCTTCAGCTGGACAGAAGCATCAATTCAGTGAAAGTGAGTGGGCCTTAATGAGACATCAACATCTGTACAGCTATAAATCCATGTAAGACTCTTACTTGTTATGACAAACTGGCAAGTTCAAATTTAAAGCAGGCGACTTGAAAATAAAGACAGGCTTTAAATCCACTGACTCAAACCACATCCAAGTTATGGTGATTATGTTTCAGTGGAGGCAGTATAATATGTATAGACTGGAGCTTTCAGGAGATTAAGGACAAAATTCACATATCAGCAGAATGCTTGAATTCTTATAAACTTGTATCGTACCACTTTGCTATTTCCTCCATGAAGTGATTATTTTTAGTTTAGTTTTGTTTTTCATAGGAAGTGTCAGGCTCAGGTACTATTTTAGTCTCATCAGCCAGTGAAGCAGGCACAGAAGCGACAGCCAGCAGTGAGTTGTGAGGTGTCACTGAAATAGGCCATTTGTCATCATGCAATCATGCAATCTGCCCATTTGTTCTAAAAACACCGGCGGCTCATTTATATGGAATGGGAGCCAAAGACCCTTTTCATCACACCTGAAGTCTGCCCCGGCTTGTGCTGCAGCTGCAGATTAAAGGTCAGAGCAACGTTTTTCAAAGGCAAAGACATTTTGCTTTTCCTGAATGGTCTAAAGAGTGCGGGAATTAACTTGAAAACAGAATAGATATCTGCAAGAAAAGCTCATCTACAAATACACAGATTCAGACACACTAACAGTGACACTAAACATGTTAGAAGCAAATGTGATTATACATAATAAATGCTACAATAAACCAATGTTTGACATCCTTGATGGACCATTTGGTGTTGGCTGGGTTTAAAAATGTGACAGCCACATATCAGCCAAACCAAAATTTCTGTCTGTTTGCTGGCAGGCTCAGCAAGCCCAGGAAAACAGCCAATTAGGGACTTATGTCAGGCCACTGTCGCTGAGCAATTACAACTCTGACGCAGTCCAGGATGATGGGAACAAGACAATAACAACAGCAACAACATCTGTGCTGTCATTCCATATCACATGAACAGGAGTGTGAAAGCTTTCTGTAGGTGGTCCTGTCCACCTCATCACCCAACATGCTGTGTGATTCAGTGAACAAATATGCTGCAAACCACATTTATTTGACACAAACCTCTCCGAGAAACATCCCCCCCAATGACCTTAAATCACACCCTCCTCTCAGAGTGGTATTGAAAATGTTTCAGGCCCAATTTTAAAAATCACTTCGCTACATTTTCATTGATTATTCTGGTGATGCATGAGTATTTGTTATACATACTGTCAGAGAGCACTGAACTCTGCACAGGTTTCTTTTGGATGACTGAAATTGGAGACGTAGGAATGTATGCTTCTGAAATTTTTGCGAGTCACACACCATCAGAATGTCAAAAAAATATTAAGTGAACATTGGTTGAAAGTGCATTTACTCAAGTAATGTACTTTTCTAGTTTGTGTTACTTCATACTTCTAATAGAAATATTGTACTTTTTACTCCACTATTTTTATTTTAAAGGGAAATGGTTACTTGTTTTTCAGATCAAGACATATGAAACACTTAAATACAATTTACAATACATTGTTAGTGATTAAAACAGAAGTTTCCAAACTTTTTAGCTTGTGTCCACTTACAAAAAGCATCTGGTTGGGTCACATTTTTGTTAGCAGCTCCACCAAAGAAAGATTTGCCTTCTTATCTCATCAGTACAGTTAGTTACTGTAAAACTAGCTCCACTTCGACCTGCTGCAACAGTAACAGGATACTAAGGCCCTGACGCATCAATATTAACAATCTTATAATGTAATAAATACTAATATCATCCTCAGGGAGAAGAATTAGTACTTCTACTTTGACACATTAAGTACATTTTGTTGATAATACATCTGTACCTCTACTTGAAGTTTTAAGTGAGGTGTTGAAGGCAGGACCTTTGATCCACAGTGTTGGTATTTTTACTTGAGTAAATGATCTGAATGATTTTCCACCAATGTACAAAAATATACTTTTCTCTGTGAGGTGCAAAGAGTATAGAGAATTGATAAAAAGAGCACACCATAAAAGTTTGCTTTCCAGAGTCAAAGAGCAGAAGAATACTGACTAACAGGTTTAACGAAGGACGAACGGATAACACAGAGCAATATTATAAAGTGATATCAGAAACATGGCAGAGCTGCAGACCTGCTCTGTTTTGATCCCTGATAAGAAACAGAGGTTTTGAGATGCCTCATTTAAATCACAGAGAGAATATACATGAGCAGGCCATGTTTTAAACAAAGCCAACTTGAGATGCGTAGCACGAAGCATTGCTCCCTCTCACTGCTTCTTTATTCTGCTCTCCTTGCCTCCCAGCTCACTCTTTCCCCTCTCTTCCTCGCCCTGACTCAATTCATGACTGCTGTGAAACAACTCTGGAGGAGAAATGAATTATACATTCCCTGCTAAAAGCATCTAAACAATGGTACAGAGCAGACTAAATGGATAGAAGCAAAGATGGATGACAAGATGATGAGAGGGCTTAGGGAAGTGGAGGAACACAGCACACAGAGGGAGGACAGTTGCATATCTCTCTATATTTTAAAGGGAGGAAGGGTGCATGGATAGAGAGCTAGAAGATAGAGAAATGCTTTTTTTTAACAGCAACAGTTACTATAAATAGCACCATTACATTCTTCCCTATCTCCTCCCTGACATGCGCCGTGCAAGCATTGTGAAGGAAGAGAGATAGATGAGGGAGGATGTCTGCCTCCTTTCTCCCGCTCCTTTTTTTTTCTCTCAATGAGATTCAGTAAAACAAGGGGAGATGAGGGGAGAAAATGAATGGAGCGCACGTGGAAGTGGTAAAGAATAGCACCATCTCCGCACAGCCAAATGCATTACTATTATTGAGCGGAAGATTAAGAAAGAATTGGATTAGTCTTACATAACTCTGTCTCTCCTAATTGCTGTACATGGTTTCGAAAAAGGAGCCATTACCAACCAGTCAAATTTGAAAAAATACCACCCGACAAGAACACTGTGTATACATCTGTGTGTGGTGGAGCATGTAATGAGGAAGTACTGCTTAATTCTTTTTTATCTTGTATTATTACACTGTGACTCATGATCAGATGAGTGCTGCTAAACAAATACATGCTCCTATATTTAGAGACGATCTGAACCTTTTACTTCTTTGTTACCAAAACTGCATCTTAACCAGCAACAGGACTCTCCGTGCTACATTAGTTCTTACCCAAAGATTACTGACTATGGAAGAGTTCTTCAAACCTTTATTGAGGCAAGAAAGCGTTGTTGAGATGTTCAATGCTCCCTTTTTTTATCCTGTCAGTTTGGTTCGGAGTGAATTCCGGTCCGATGCCCACTTCTTTTACCTTTATGCTACCACTGCTCCAGCTATCATAATTTTCTGAGCTATAGCTCTCAACCAGATAATAGTGAATATGGAGTTAACATCACAACATCAGATGGATAATAAACATGACTCTCTACATTATTACAATGCTCAGAATATGGACCGAAGTTCTGTAGAGAATGAAGTTGTATAATCTAAGATAAAATGGAAATACTCAAGTAAAGTACCCCAAAATTGCACTTAAAGGTCCAGTGAGTAACATTTAGGAGGATCTATTGACATAAATGGAACATAATATTCATAGGCATGTTTTCATTAGTGTATAATTACCTGAAAAAAGG